AATCCAAAATTCAGTTCAAAATTAATGATAAGTAGTTCCAACTTCTTCCCCCAAGGAAGTCTAGTATGATAAACGATTAAAATTCCAAATGTTTCCTTGTAATTCTTAATAATCCAAATAGATCCAAATTATATGCGTTCTGGTAAATATTTCCAAGTATAATTCACGCAAGAAGAATAAAAATACCAGACTGTAGAATTATTTCGACGGCGGCTGTCCTAATCGCGTCCAATAGAAACACTCCTGTACGTTACTCCTAGATCCAGGTTCCAGCCAAATCAAAAGGTCAAATTTTCTAGGAGAAAACGTCTGGTATTTTTGTTTCTTCCAGGACTAAATTACTCCGTAGAGTATCTATTACAATAGCTAGTAAGTGACACTAAGTCCAGCAGCCACCGCGTCTATCCAAAAATGTGGCGGTAGCCATATTATATCAAATTTAAACAATATATGTACAGTTCAAAGGCAAACACAAAAACTTCAATATAAGTACAAAATATGGAAAGAATAACAACATACAATGGTAAAATCTCAAATTGGAATCAAATAAAATACCAAAAATGTCAAGAGAAAAAGTCCATCATGTCATAGCAAAAATATGTAAACATGGAGGGATTTTCCAAAACACAAAGCATTCAAAAAGAATTCTACAAGTACTTACTTGGTAATAACATCAAACCACAGTATTTTGGCGATTGCGTGATGGCAGTGTCGTGTAGGTTACTGAATAATAAAGGTCTCTGGTTAGAGAAATGTCGAAATCACGTCAAAAGTTAAGATCAAGTAAACTCATTAAATAGTCTTGTTAAAAAAGACTATTTGTAGTGACCAGGAATCACTTGTTTGCGGATTAATCTAAGTAATTTGTAGTGAGCGGCGCAGTGTCAAGAGATGCTTTGCCTGTCTTGATTTATAAATTTTAGGTCTCTGCAGGGTGAGTACGTTCTTTAAAATTCAGGCCACTGTGTTCTTCAGTAAGCTTTACAGGTGATAAATTCACGGTCGATAAAGATGAACCCAAGCGAATGACCAACAGGACAATAAAATTTTCACCATACTAAGTGAACTTAGGTTGGACTAGTCGCATTTGTCTAAGGTACATATATACGGCAAGAGTTCAAGATGGTCGAAACCTTAGAATTTCTAAGTCGATTAACTTGCAGCTCCTTTGATTTCAGAACGGTAAACTCAGAATAATATACATCAAACGATTATAGATTAACTAATTTATGCACCAATCTCTTAACAACCAAGAAAGAAAGCCGCTACTTATCTCTTAGATGTGTGCCAAATGAAGGTTGTATGCCTTGTTCCAAAGCGGACGATAATCCAATTTCAATATTATTAGATAACAATATTAATTCATTCTCGATTTGCGTGTTACGAGAGGCATGCCAATATAAAGACAGAATTAAAATGTTAAAATTTCTAGGATATCGAATGTAAAAGGTTGTTCAGTCAGATAATCATCTCACAAGATAGATTGTTTACTTATAGATGGCTAATGTTTTTCACTCATAATTATAGACAATGTTTCAGACTCTGGAATGTACAATACGATGGTTGACGTGGGTTAAGACAGTTGCGTTGCGACGAACCACTGCTGGTCGAAAACTAATGCAAAGTATATCCGGTCTGCATATAACAAGAATTGATTAGGTAAGTGAGCATGGATCTTCATGTTGAGATTAGTCAGATAGTATATCTACAGGCTCCTAGGTAATGTAATTAAGTTTTCGGCAATTACTCAGGTTAGTATTTAGGGAGTATGATTAGGTGCTATCTCCGCCTGTAGAACCTTTAGGTCTACTGCCGATCCCAAGCCCGGATAAAGAAGGATGGTCAGGCATGGAGTTGGCGATCCCACCTCACCAAAAAATTAACACGCTAAAAATAGGCTAACCTGCAAAAATAAATCAAACCATTTTCACTCTGCCTTGGCAGTTTGAAGAAGAATTATGACGTCTCGTGATGAAAGCCGAGTTCCCTTGTAATTCAAGGGGCTGATGCCTCTTCTGACAACCAGAGCAACCATTCTTTTAGATACATGGAACGTTCGAACATTGTAAGAGACTGTAAGACTAATTCAATTTGCTGCATAAATGAAAAGATACAACTTCGAGGTGCTTGGAATCAGCGAAACGCATTAGACACAGGTAGAACAACTGAGACTAGCTTCAAGGGAACTGCTGCTATACTCTCGTCATGGTGGTATTAATGTGTCCTTCTTTCTGTTCTTGAATTTTTAAATTGTCGGAGTGATGCATTGCTGAACTCGATTCTTTCATACATTCATTGTTTTTCGTCCAATTTTGGCATACATTATGTCAAAGTATCCGAAACGAGATTATAGTTCATATTTTGATGTTCAAAATAGCTGCAAACCCACTGAAACAACAAACAGCGAGGGTAAAGAAATCAATTGTTTTGTACCAGATCGTGGAAAAGATATTGGACGCCGGAAATGCGTTGAGCTGACAGAAGTGGGATACATATTTTTTTATCACTGTCGTCGATATTATTGATGTCAGAGAGCAAGTACTAAAACGTAGCTTTACTCAGCTTCAATAGGACATTCCATCAGATTCAATGCAATAGCGGTTGAATTCGACTGAATGATGAACCCGAGGTATATTTGAGTCAGGAGCGTGTCTCGGTTACTCGAAAAATATAAATATTGTATATAAATAATATACGTGTGGTTCTACAATAAAGAGCGATTAATTCAAGCCGATAAGATAACAACAGTAGTCAACCATAAACTAGCCCAGAGTAAAATGACAAGTCCAAAACGGCTGTCTATACAAAATATGTCTCGGTCAATAAGAATATGACCAGATAGTCGATCATTATCTCAGTCAATGGGATACAAGAAAAAGGATGAACTCTGATTACTAATAAGTAACATAGTCATGAAACGAGGATTTCACAGTACTCACCGAGATGAAGAATCCTGGGGTATTATTACCAGCTCCGAATCCGAGGATTCTTCGAATTATCTTTTTCAGTTACAGATCTGTCTAATATCCTTTCAGACCAAACATCTCACTGTCGGAAAATACTACTCTAGCTACTCATTCAAGAATAAACCCACTGGATGTTGAGCTCAGTTTCCACCTCAAATAATACCCGGTTGGTAAGTCTACTTCCTATACACTGGTTGATTCATCACTCTCTAACTGTGGTAGTTTATTCGGCGTTAGTAAAATACCTTTGTCGGTGTCTTCTGTCACTCTTGCTAACGTCCGGTTGTTTAGGATTCCTCTTATAGTGCTTAAAGTTGTGTGAAGTTCTTCGTCAGTAATCAGCTTTTCATTTAGAATAACTGTTAGCATCCTTCCTATCATTTGAACAGTTCTCTCCCATACTCCTCCTCTGTGGTAGACTTTCGGGGAACTGAGTACCTAATCTCATCTATGAGTTTCGAAGTCTTTCGGTAACTTATATTGATATAAAGAGTCGAAAAGTTCTCTCGTAAATACTCCGAACCTTTGAAATCAATCTTGTGATCACTATACTACTTTCACAGATAACTCCTGTGTCGCAAATCGACTGAACCCGCATGAGGATGACAATGTATCCAAGGTATTGAAAGCGTCGATTTGCATTTCTCTAAAGTTGATGCAGCCGACTATCCTCGTTTCATTTACATCGGTCCGAAAATTTCTACCCCGCTTATTCAGAAAAGCAGGTTTAGTCACGAAAATGTAATTGGTGAACTTAACAGTTAGAATTACGTTCTATATGCAACCTATACTGTGGACTTGGTAACTTTACCTGAATCTGATTTCTTGCGCATGGCTTCGATTATTTTGATAGCCACTATGTGCTTTATTGGTCGTTCAGCGAAACGACCGAGCAGTGCGTACATTTGGAATGTTTGAACACAAAGTTTTCGTTGGTACAAGCTCCACTGTTGCTAAGTTATAAGACTTAATGCACTTTTGATTGTCTTTTATCTTCTTTTCTGATAGTTGATCAAGCTGTTCCGTAGTTTCACTAAACTTTCAGGCAGCGTGCACTGTGTGGCAACCAAGAACTGGTGAATAGCCATTTTTAATCTCACCTGGGTGATTTATAACAATGACTTCGGCAGTAAAACTTGCAGCCTTTTCGTGATGTTGCTCTTAGAATCACCGGTGATATTAGTAGGACGGATATTCAAGACGTAAATGCTTTTTACATTAAATCTGACACTGTCATCAGGGTAGGCTTCAGCAAGAGCTTCGTGATCCATCTCGGCGGACATCCTGACAATGAATCTCACGGAGGGCGGATGTTCTTTAACGATGACGATGAGGCCTTGTAACATCACCGATAGCCGGGGCACTCTTACGAGCTAAAGCTGACTTCAGCCAGCTACACGCCTGATTTTCTCATTAAAAATCGTCACAACTTGGAATGCTCTCTCAACCGGAGCAACCGCAGTTGATAGATTCAGGAAGGGATTTAATAAAGACGTATTCACGTATGGATTATCATCGCTATCTTTGACCAGATCTGCCTGATACATGTCTCGAAACATACTTGTTGTTGTCATTTTCTCAGATCAGTAACTTGTTATATCTCGCCTATTATCTGTCTTCTCTTCTTTGCCTACAATTCTGTCCTCTGACACAATCTACACTGCCAATTAATTCACTTATTTAATTATTTACGTAGTTCTGAAATTCCCCTCATCTTACCAATGATAGAATTTCCTTCTTCGTATTATCCATCTTGCAACTAACTGATCTGCAGTTGAGCGGCTAGACTACAATTCATCTGACACGACCAAACACCAGGAACCATACCGGAAAAACAGTGTGCAAAGAAATCAATTGGTTTATACGAGCTCGCGAAAAAGATAATGAGTTAACTCTTGAAAACCGTTACCTGAAGACTTAGATTCAACATTTTACATTGGCCCGTTCAAGAGAGATAAGACAGTCTCATTGGCCTAATAGAAAAGAACACCTGTTGCATGCCTTCGGTTTTCAATGCATTTTTCTGGACAAATTCTAACCCTTGCCAAGGTCAGTCGAATCCCGCCTATTCGACACGTTGATGTGAATGACGGTATAAAGGTTATTTAAGGGTGTAACGGTCGACTTCATGCGTTGTTGTGGTGTTTGATACTTAGTTTAACTGCAGTAGTGATGCAAAACAATAGATAGAGTCAAGTGTGTGGTTCTAGGCCGCCTAAGATGTTTGAATAAAAGGCTCTCTTAATGCTAATAATCCTTCCGGATGCTCACCCACACATAGGATCCATGCACAATTCTGTGAAGCCGATTGTTTCTTTTACTTACTCGGTATCTAATACTTCTAATGATTTAGAGCAATGTCATGAAATTTCTAAATGGCCGTGTTCTCAGCTTCATATTCTATGAGGTGACAGTTTACTGTTGATGGCCTACATAAGCTACTTTTGCCAGTAAGTGTTTCATACCCCTCATTTTAGAATACAGTGATCATCAGGGCCTTATTGGGCTAGAAATCTTTTCGAATGTAGATAAATATAGTGTAAAGTAGACGTTTTCCCTCTCTTATCGTGTTAAACCTAGCAGGTGAACCTTTGTTCTGAGAGCTAACAGGTCGTAATGAAAGCCCGGGTGTAAAACATTTTGATATTAAAACGTAGATGTAAAGTTCACAATACATACCGAGGAACTAGGATATTTTATTACAAAGTATATCAGCAGAGGGACTTCCTAGTGCCTTAGGTAGGCCTGCAGATTGATTGCTCGTGTGTTACTGCAACGCATGTGCCGTTTACATGCTAGCACACTCAGCATTTTGGTTCGAGGTTTTTCTAAGATCCATATACAGTTTCGCTGTAGCGAAACTAAACGATTATTCTTACCGAATTTGGTCGTAGTTTAGAGTCTTTCACTATCCCACATTTCTCCGAAAGGTAGGCAATGTACGTAGCCAGGTTAGCTGACTCCACCTTATAACATAAGTCAATAACTGTTTGGCAATCACAAAACTGAGCAGTATAGGAAGTAAGATAAAAGAAAACGGTTTTGTTTGTAAATTAAAAGGCCTGACTACAGTAATACAAGGCGAATGACTTTTGTATCATGTCAGTCGATCGAAATCCGTGAATTAGTAGATCAAATTAACCTTGATCTCAAAGACAATAAGTATTCTACAGCGATGTTTATCTAATTTCCATACACACGAATTGACTAGACTTTTAATTACTGCTTTTTCTTCATAATGTCATTTTCGTTTAGGAGGCTTGCTCAGAACGTCCTCACTATTTTGCTGAAGAGTGATAATCTATGTTGTCATTAAGCTTAAGTACCTGTATGTCAGCTCTTGGTGAAGAACCAGGAGAGAATCACATAATTGGTTTTAAAGGTTCATGTCACTATTATCATTACGGTGCCCAGGGCATTGATGACCAAGTAAGTTATAATCGCAAAACATTTTAAGGGTTGGGGCTGTGGTTACAGAACACTACAAACAATTTTGTCTTGGTATCAGCTCACAAAATCCTGTTCTTTCGATGTACCTACTTTACTTAGCATCCAAAGTATATTACATGAGATTGGGGACAAGCCGAGAGTTTTTGTAAACTCTCATGATTGGATTGGAGCATACGAGTGTGGATTAGTGATACAATATCTAACAAAGGTATGTGCTAAGTCTTCAAAGAGCTGTTAGCATGATTTCAAGATAATACACGTAGTAGGAGGTAATTTTACAGAGGAAATCATCGAATCATTGGTTCATCACTTCCAAATACAAGGATCACCAGTTATGCTAGGTAAGACAAAAACCTGTCTAACTTTTTAGGGGGGCATGACGACAATTCATCTAAAGGAATTCTTGCAGTAAAAACGTTTCTTGCTAGACCAACAATGTTTTTAATCTGTGTAAGTTGACCCTATGGTATCCAAAATGTTGGTCGAATTTCGTTTTTGTTACGAATACGTAGGTAGGTGGAGAATGATACGGGATAACATCGTTAGCTCGATAGACCGACGTTTTTTGAGCTAAATGATCAGTAGAAATAGTTCTTTTTGTTAAAAGAACCATTGAAACAGATGTTTCGGTATTCCAATGGTGGTTGTAATGATTGTGTTAGCAATCCAACTGCTTGAGATTTTAAAAGTCGCCACTTCGCCGTATCTGTTTTATACTTAAACGTTACAGAAGCAATGTGCCAGACTATACACAAGTGGGCAACGGTAGACAGCAGCTCAGACTTATCAAAGAAACCGGTATTAGGAATCCAACTGTGAGACTATCTCGGAAAAGAATAGGACTGTTATTCATTCTCAATCCAGGAGATTGGATGGACGGGCAGAGCACTGTAAGGATCAGTTCAACTGGCCTTTAGCAATACTTCGGTAGCCCACGATCTCCAGTTAACGTGGATGATGAATTTATGTAAGTCCTCTTATTGAAGTTGAAAGGGCTATAGGAAACCTAATACGAGGGAAAATAGCGAGCTCTGACAGGCTAACGCCTGTGATTCCTAAGGATAATGGTCCAGCTTTTGCGGATAGATTGATTAAGATCTAGAACACAAACGCGTTCAGACTTCCCACAATAGTAGTATTTCTCAACCTTAAGGCGGCACTTAACTGTTGACTGTGAGGTTCCATGACAGTGTCTGTCTACTCGAACGCCACTGGCCTAGTGAGTGCTTATGAGGAAATGTCACCGGAACTCATTACTTCAAGTGGTATTGGTCATGGTTGTGCACTCTCGCCATTCTTGCTTAGTTTGGTCACTGACATGCTCTTACGTACGGCGCTTTCATCATCTGACTTATCAGCAACTGACCTACCAAAAGGATCGCTGGTTGATTTAGAATATGCCGACGATATAGTCCTACTTCGTGAAGACTGACAAAATGCAGTCTTTTGACCACCCTAAGCAACAATACAAGCCCGTCCTCCCTCTCAAAATGCAAGATGTTGCTTCACGATTAGCACCCCAAACAGTGATACGGAGTAAAGCAGTTGGCCATGTTGACTGCTTCCCTTATCTCGGCAGTTCCATCAACGCGGACGGTCTGGTGTGTGACGAAATCCCAGCACAGATACAGAATGCTCGACTTATTTGCGTTGGCGGCAATGCACCCATTGTGTTATCTCAAATCCTAATATTCTGAATCCCTTCTCATTCTTATCTTTCTCTTTTTATGGGTTTCATCAGACATAGTTCTTAAATAATACCTCCTTACCCTAATCTCTGCGACTGCTGCCAACACTACTAGTACTATGGGATTTGAGTTGGGAATTACGTCTCTGTGTTATTGCTGTATGGTAACTTGTACTGATGTACGTACGTACGAAGTTCTACGTAGTAGGTGACTGATTGGCTTGGAACCACGTAGTCATCTATATGCACTAAATCATATATTTCTAAGTAGATTGAAGTAACGGATGATCCAACTTCACTGTAGTCTTCATCACCATAATTTATTCGTGGAGGGTTCCTATATCTGGTACACTTTTTGATGATGATGAATACCGTGATTCTAAATACCAATACTTTTTCTGTTTTTAAGGATCCCCATTATTTTGAAATCCATGGAAACCCAAATATCGCTAAATTGTGCGAAGGAAAGTGGTTACGATGGTGCAAAGTTAGTGAATTTTCAGAGAAACAGTTTTATAATTTGTGTCTGCCTTTATGAAAAAACACATTTACTTTACAAAAAAGGCTTATGGTATGTCTTTACAGAATTTGTCATATGTTTCTTTCAGGATAAGATAAGAGTCTAAATATCGCTCTTCATTATCGCGACAGGCTGCTTTCCATCTGCAAATTAGAAATAACTGGCGATTATTCAGTTACACAATAATATTTAAACATAAAACTATCTTTTATGAACTCGTGATGTTGAGCAAAATATGACCGCACAACAGTGTGCATTCCGCACGACAACAATAAATACTTCGAAAAGTCAAAACCCGTAAAACGTCTTAAAGGGGAATTAATTAGAGGAGACAAAACACTGCTCATGTAGGGAACTGTCCGAAAACAGCATAGCGAGGTTAAGAATATACTATAGGAAGTCGTAGGGATCATACTATTAATAACTTTTTTAGTTAGTTATACGTAAGAAATGAAAATTATGAGGGAACTGACCTAAAGTTTACTGACGATAGTTGTAAAGGAACTAAAATGAATGCCCTAAATTTGATGATTATACTTTGTCTTCAGTACGAACAGCGTTTTGCCATAGGTTGGTAAAGTTTGCCGGATTATTTGTTGTGAAGCGTTTCTTGAATGTCCATAAGACTGGAGTCCAGTAGTTAAATTATGCAGCATCAAGGTTGGTTTAAATCTAAAAGCTTGTCTTCCATCAGTGATATTTCACTCTTATGTATCTAATGGCGATGACAGTCCGTTAGTGTTTGTAAAATCGGGGTTTAGGGTGATCTGTAGATATCAAACATCAAGAAGCATTTTAGATGCTCACAAGATGCCAAATAGTTATCGATGTAGCCAACGACCCTACTTAAGATAAAACTTCTAATATTGGGAGTACAACACCACTTTTTCGTAGTTAATGTACTATTGTGGTGCTGTGGTGCGAACTACTTATAAGTAGTATATAACGTGAGTGTAAACGTAAAGTCTGGTAACATAATATGGGGGGAAGATCAAGAAAGGAAGAGTTAGAAACAATGGAATTTGTATGAAACGCATGAATAGTGACAATGGATTGATGTTTGGCAACAGGAGCAGTCCAGTTCCATAGGATGAACTGATCTTTTGCAAATGAACGATTTACGATATGGTTTTCCGATTTTACTGAGTAACTCTGTAATTTTCGTTAAATACAATTCGGTTGCCCCACCTGTGTTCTCATTCACTACACTATGAGCGCATGCATAAAGTTACCCAAAAGTTCGAAAAATATTACTTACTTTCTCCGAATTTCTCTCCAACGTACAATGTGTTGTTCTAGTAATCCTTCAGGAGACATTTCCTTAGGCGGGTTCTAAGTGTTTATAAAATTTCAACATAAACAGCGATTACCTCGACGTTGATAAGGAACGGCTGACCATCCGATGGAAGAGGAGGTGGTATCCTTATGTCATTATCAGTCAAGCCATCACTTGGCTTAGGTAGAGTGTAGTGACAATCAGGGAGCTGATCACTGTTCTATATTAAAAAACCAACAATAACGCAAACCATCAAGACCAATCGACAGAAAAATATGGACTAGAAATCAGATAGGCACCCTGTACCAAATGGTGACAGGGTGCACTTAACAGCACAGTAAACGTTAACAGTACATGTCTACGGATACGTCAGTGCGAATGACTGCAATATAAAATTGACGAGTTAATATGCGTATTAATTCTTATAATAATTATCTTGAGTTAGTAATTTGGTGAAATCTCCACACTGCATAAATTCCCAGTAAGTTCTTATCACTAAACAAGTATATCCACCACTCAATATGAATAGTGAGCAATTTTTTTCCGACCGATTAAGGAGTTTGAATATGGTTTGAGAATTCATGTGTGATTATGGACACATCTATATATTCTACCCAACTTCTAGTTACTAACGTAGCTCAGAGCTTTGTGTTAAATATAGTGGCAGGTGGTGTAATTTTCAGGGAACCTGGATTCCCGTCTTCTTTCTGGTGCTAATTAGTGACATTTCAAGTACCGAACTCATCGTATTCAACAGTAGATGAATAACAAGGACAAACTCTTAGATGAGGTATTAAAGATGACAATATGGTTTTACGTAACGTGTAACCTCATCAGATATGCAGTGTTCGTGAAACCCGTCTTTTTTATTGAGTAGCTTTATTGATAAATGTTCCCCACACCGTTTATTGGCAAGTTCGAACTAAATATTAGAGCCATACTCCGTTACTCATTGTAAACTGAGCATCATGAAGTATGAAAAACCACAGAGCAGCCGTTCAATTTGTTATGTATTAGTCTTTAAGATAACTGTAACATGGAGTGATTGCTGCTCTCTTGAGTGACACTAGACTTTACTGATACATATGATACTTTCACGACAGATATATTTACTGAGAGAAGATTTGGAATTCATATCAAGATAAGCATGAAAGTTGGTTATAACTATTTAAGGTCCAACTGAGTACGTTATAAGGACGAGGTGCTAGGTCATATATGGGCCTCGTCAGATCTTCCTTTAACAGCAACATCCACTCATGAATCAACGGTCTGGAGTCTGACCATACTTTCTATGAACTTTATACAATAATATTTGGTTGCGACTTAGTTTCTTGGGGTATATTATGGTTTATAGGAGATCTGAGAGTCAGTCAAGAGTCGCTGCAGCTGTACTTTTGATGCTAGTGAGAAGTAGCAGACAATTAGGATGTGATTCAATAAGATGTCTGGAAGAATTAGGAGGCAGTATACATTGCTGAGTATTACCTACTCGCACGTAGCTCCAAAGCTTGACCTATATATGACAGAAACTGAAAAAGCATATGTACAGAACGGAGCTATAGGTAGAGGTTGGAAACCAGCTTGTAAGTTTTTGAGCACTCCATTACTTATGCTAGCTAGGATAGTTGGGTTTGTCACTAGCTTCTTGAAGATAACGGTCTTGAAGCTCCAGACACGAAGTCTTATCCTGATACAGATTTGTATGGAAAATATAGGACGTTTACAAATGGTTTGACTAGGATAGTGCATTTCAAATCTTCAGTTGACACTTCAAAGAAAACTTGCTAAACTTTTTGGTAGGATCCTACGTGGCTACTGCTTCTCTGTCTTCAAAGTACTTATTAAGAATTTAAAGTAACATCGAAAATCTCGTTAATGCAAAGGCGGTGCCCATTCAAGGAGAAATGTAGTTAAAGCAGATGTGATGCGAGTCAGACATATTTAAGGCGGCACGAAATAAGATATCTTTAGGTAAAAACAGATAATCCAACAAAGCAACTAAAATCCGGTAAAGTACCTCCTGGTCATCATCGACATTCGGAACATCATTCCATGATGAAGAATCACCTTGATTAAGATTACGTATCCAAGATCTAGCCATAGGATACAAAGGAGCGTTTTCGCTAAACTGTCCAAAATCAACACTTCTCTCAAAAACCTTGATAACAAAGGATTCTAAAAAGTCAATACACATCAATTATCCAAAACCTTTGTATGTTTCTTCCTCCTCTGATGGTACTCGTCGTTTCTTCCGCTTGATATCGTTAGGCGATACTTTATAGAATGGACTCCTAAACTTCTCCTTTTCTGAAGAGTCTCGGCGACCAGCCATCTCATCTTTGTATTTAGTGCTTGTCTTCCTAAAAATATTTCCATGAATGTCCCTCATCATATATTAGAAACATACGTTTTAGTGGGATCCTCTTTTAGGATCTGCAACAATGAATCCAGTTTATCACGAGCATAGGATAGCTCAGTTTCTACGAGGTTATTTTATTGGCAAGTAACAAACCTTCTTGATCAGCCCACCAGCCCGTTTCATTCCAACATGAACTCATTTTCGGTACTTCACTTAGTCACTGAATAACGGAAAGTAAACTTAATTTACTGATGGCTAGTAAATTCTGAAACAAACCAAATAAATTATTAGTAATGACGCCGATAGAGAGTTCATTTTAAAATGGTTATCAAAATAAATATGTTGTCGCGACCACAGCTGCTACCTTAACGTGGTGGTCGGGCTTGCCTATTGTGATCACCCAACCGAGCTATATCGGCTGGAACATATGTTCCTGAAGGTTCTACCATGCCAGGTAGGTCGACTGGAGAACGATGAGACTTTCATAAAAAGGTCGTGCGTGACCGGCCTCAAGCAGTTGTCACGTGGGCACTGCGGTCACGCTCCCAGGTCTCTAAGACCGACGCTAATATACCTTCTTTTTCAGGTCCCTCAAGAAACAACCTTCCACGGTGTGGGCAGCCGGGAAGTGACAACCGCCCTCATACCCGTAACAGCACACGAAACCAAATTGGTCAAAATCAAATCCTTCCTACACCCCCTAATATCTTTCTTCTCTCCACGACTAACTCTACTCACCGCTAATGCAAACGATGCGAGTTCACGGAAAGTTATTCCTGACCTCCTGAAACCCCGTTCTAGACTACATGTTGGAGCTTTTAATGTACGGAAAATTGTGTTGAATAGGGCAACAGGCTTCCTTAGCTAGGACATTAGAATCTCATATTTTTCAGGGGTTGACCTTCTACCAGGAAAGTCGCTTACTGATCTAGAATATGCCGATGACATAGTTCTACTCGGTGAAGACGCTGACAAAATGAAATCTTCTGACTACCCTAAGCAACAATGCAACCATGTTCGGGATGCGCTTTTCCCCCTCGAAATGCAAAATGTTGCTTCAAGACTGGGTTGCATCGGTACCTGAACTAATGATAGGGAGTGAAGTAGTCGAGCGTGTTGATCTAGGGAGTCTCATCAGTGCTGATAGCCTGGTGACTGACGAAATCTCAGCACGGATACAGAAGGCTCGATTGGCTTTTGCCAACCTGCGTCACTTATGGCGTAGGCGAGATATCCGTTTTCTGACTAAAGGACGAGTGTACTGCGCAGTAGTTCGCCACGTCTTACTTTATGGCTGTGAAACATGGCCAGTGAGAGTAGAACATATTCGTAGGTTACTGGTTTTCGATCATCAGTGTCTCCGAAGCATTGCTCGTATATCCTGGGACACCAGAGTGAGCAACGCTGTTATTAGGAAGCGGGCGCTAGGTAAGAATGGCAGATCAATAGATGAAGTGGTGAAACTTCATCAGTTGAGGTGGTTGGGACATGTGTTGCGTATGCCTAACCACCGACTGCCTCGACGAGCTTTGTTTTGTAATGTAGGAGTAGGTTGGAAGAAAGTTAGGGGCGGCCAGACCAAAACATGGCAGAAATCCATGAAGTCATTGACAGGTGGACTGAGTCATGTTGGTAGATGTAGGCTACCTTGTTGGGGTCCGCGAGATGACAATAGAGAGACCTTGAATGACATGGCTCAAAACCGTTTGCAATGGGGCCAGTGCATTTATTCTTTGTGTTCTCTCAAATCTTAATCTTTTTTATTCTTCAACCCCTCTAGTTTTGTCTTTCTAAACTTATCTCACTGAATCATACTTCTAGAATAATTTCTTCTAATCCTAACCTCTCCGAATAATGCTAATACCTTTACTACCACTACTACTATTGGATTTGAATTGACAATTACATCCATTTGCTAATGTGGTATGGCAACATGAACTGATGTACGTACGTACGAAGTTCGACGTTGCTTTTGATTGAATGAATATATAATACCAGGCGAGAGGACCGAAGTGCAGGCAAGGTAAAGGAAACAGATAAAAAGCGAGGTAGATTGAGTTCGTGGTCTGAAATGGCGATAATAACAACCAGTAGGTTTTAAGGCATGTATCAGGCACAACTGGTCAACGAGGGGCGTGTTAATCCGTATGTAAGTACGTCTTTATCAAATCTATCCTTAGAGCTGTCCACTGAGTGGGGTGTGATCACCCCGGCTGGGAGGGCATTCCAAGTTGAAACAACTCTTAATGAGTTAAAGTGTGCACGATCCTGAATGTTCGCTCTTTGATGAGCAATCTCCCGAGGATTATCTCGAGGAATATGGTGGTGATGCTTCGGTAAGATGCTCACGCTGGGATAATTTTGTGCTTATTACGTTGTACGCCATGATCATATCACCTTTGATTCTTTCGTAGCTCGGAGAATAATCCTTAGTACTAGAGTCCATCTTCGCAGGTTTTATTCTTCAAAGCTATCACTCATTTCGTTGTTCGTCTCTGCAATCGATCCAAGAGATTTATGTCTTTTTAAAGGAGATAGGGTGTGATTATGTTGGGAAACTCAAGGCATGACCGCGCATGTCTTAAACAACGTCAGGAACAATTTGACACGGGATATCAGTTACTGATAAATTATGTGGTCTGGCCAAAGAACTTAAGGATTCGCAGTAAAATAGAAATTTCCAATATAAGTTTTAGTTTTACTTAAATTGATCTAGTCGTTAAGAAACCATGGACCTTGGAAGCAACTCGAATGATTTTTCAAGAATAATTATTCACTTTTAAAAATGCTTTAAGGTTTTTAACTACTTAAACACAAGCTATATTCTATGTGAAAAACAAGATGGTGAGAGTAATCTAAAATGGATTTTATGACATCGAAAAGTTTTGTTGGTAGTATACCGAGTAAACTATCCAGATTTTGATATTTTTTTTACTAGATTTTGCACTGGAAGTTTGACATAAACAGTTCTTAAACCCAGACTATACAGTTTGGTGAGCAATTATAAGTACTGACATTGTATAGCGATGTGGTGAAAATTTTCATCAATTACTCAAGTAATTGCATTTAAACGCGTGGATTTCAGGGTGAATACAGTTCTAACGCACGCAGGTTACAACGCAACTGCATAAGCAAAACAAAGACATACCAAACCATTTAAAAAACAGTCCAAATGCTTCGAGGTCAACAGTCGGTTACCCTATTGATGGATCCAATATCCAATATCTTTTTTTTGCAATGTGGAGAGTAATAAGGGTAATAAGGGTAAATTAAAATGATAATATGAGTAAAATTTCAGAACTGAGTAATATATAGATGAATTTAGTTTATTAATTGGTAGTGAAGATTGTGAGAGAGGACCGAAGTGTAAGCAAGGGAGAGGAAACAGAGATAATAGGCGAGATAGAATAATTGAGTGATCTGAGGAGATGGCAATGGTAACAACTAGCGGGTCTCAAGATATGCATCAGGCACAGCTTGTCCAAGAGGGAGATGACAGTCCGCATGTGAGTACGTGATTATTAAGTCTCTTCTTAAAGCAGTCCATCGAGGGGGCTGTAACTACCTCGGCTGGGAGAGCATTCCAAGTTGCGACGACTCGCAATTAGGAAAAGTGTGCACGGATCTGAGTGTTTGCTCTTTGATGTGCAATCTTTTGAGGATTGCCTCGAGGGGAGTGGTGGTGATGCATCGGTAAGATGCTCACATTGGGATGGTTTGGCGTGCTTAATATGGTGCACGCCATAATCAAGTCACCTCTGATTCTCCTGTAGCTCAGTGGGAATAATCCCAAGAGCTGGAGTCTATCGTCGTAGTGTTTATTTTTCAACCATATCACCCATTTGGTCGCTCGTCTCTGCACTCGGTCCAAGAGATTAATGTCTCTTTTAAGCAGAGGGGGTGCGATGACGTTGTGAACCTCCAAGTGTGGGCGCGCGTACGTCTTAAAGAGGGTTAAAAATAATTTCGGGGTTATAGCACCAAGCTGTCTTCGCATAAAGTGAAGAGTCGCATTTGCCTTGGCTGCATCCCCTACATAGTTCGGACTCGTGTGGAGGCTTTCTGTGGTTATTAAACCAAGATCGCGCTCTGAGGAGACATTAGGGAGCGGACTTCCATTGAGGGTATAGGTCGTTTGCGTCATATGAGGCAGGAAATGCATGACGTGGCACTTCGGTTGGTTGAGTTTTAAACCGTTTTTCACTGCCCATTTCTCAAAGGATGTAAGGTCCTTTTGAAGCTCAGTCGAATCCTCTTCGCTTCTAATGGACCTCCAGATCTTCGCATCGTCTGCGTAGATCAGTGCCGGTGAGCTAACTAAGCTTAGCAGGTCGTTAATGAATATCAGGAAGAGGAGTGGGCCTAGGATGGTCCCCTGTGAAACTCCTGAAGTGGATACTCTCCAACTCGCGTGCACCCTGTTTACCTTGGTGCGAAACTTTCTATTCTCAAGGTAGTTACTGAGCCAAGATAGGAGTGGGTCAGTGAAGCCCATTTCCACAACCTTTTCGATTAGGCGTGCGTGAGGCACTGTGTCAAAGGCTTTTGCGAAGTCGAGAAATACTACGTGCACTGGTATTTTACGGTCAACCAGGATGTCCAACTGTCCCATGCGATGAGAAGATTAGATTCACACGACCTGCCTTTCCAAAACCCGTTTTCAGCTTCATGGAGTATTTTATTCTTATCCATGTACTCCCTCATTTGTTCGTCCACTAGTCCTTCCATAACCTTTGATAATATTGGTAGTAGTGCGACTGGTCTGTAACAGGCTGGGTCCTTTCTATCTCCTCCTTTGAAGATTGGAGAGAGAGTAGCTTGTTTCCATTCCGCTGGGAATTGGTGTGACTCCAGTGAATACCTGAACAGGTTGCATAACGGTGAACAGAGGGCTTCAGCGCACTGTTGCAAGACTATAGGGCGGATTTTGCCACAACCTGGTGACTTACCTGGGCGTAAGGATTTTAGTTTCCTTAATAATAGGTCAGGAGTGATACGGATGTTCCCTAAGCCGTCAGCTGGCATTGGGTTGGCGTAATACTCTGAACATGTAGGCGCCTGGTTTTATTGATCAGAAAAATGGGTGTTGAATGTCTCGGCCATCTCTAGATTGGTGAGGTCTTCTCCGTTTGGCCCTTTTAGGGAACACAACCCTTGATTAGTAAGTTTTCTTTTGGACATGAACCTAAACAGATGTTT